TATATATATATATATATATATTAAAAAAAGTTAGTGTTTATTCCCAGAGTGGAGCGGATTCTGGGAATTATAAACTGGAATGAAAAATCAGATCACCAAAAATCCACAACGATGTTGTGTGAGACTTAGAAGCAGTTATGATTATTCCCTGCTTTCAGAGATAAAAGATGAAAACGCTGGTATCTATGTTGTCTCTATTTGCTTAAATATGACTGTTAGAGTATTAGCATAAATAACCAAATCCACCATAAGAGGTCAACATGCCAATTTGAGTTTCCAGTGTTGTGTGCTGGAAACTTGGACATTGATTCAAAGTCATTCACAATAAAAATCAGTGTCACCATTAAATTCTTCATCTTTGGAACTATTTTAGAAGCTGAGTTTGTCTCTTGTCTTAATATTGGTAAAGCTTTAAAAATTGGAGACCAATTTAAAGCCGTTCATGGAGACTCAACCTCAACAAGGAAGAAAACAGCAAGATCAGAGTTTTGATCGAAGGTTTGCACATTTCAGTCCCGGTGCTCTGTTCAGGAACAGCTGCTCCCGTCAGCGCGAGGAGCTTTAGATGCAGTGTTTCATTTTTGCAACGTTGTGTTAGTCGGCACTCGTTTCCCTTCTTTATGCTAAGCTCAGCTCGTTTCATGTAATGAGAAATAATAAATGTATTTTGCAAATGATCACCTGATTCTTAAGGTCACAAAGCTGCTTTTTCTTTCCTGCTGTTGTGTATTAGAAGTGTCATTAACAAAAAGGCTTAAAATCAGTCATGTAGCATGAAGTCCCATCTGAGGCTGGTGTGTTTTAAACTGTAGCAGGTGAATCATACATTTTTAGACCGAAGGCTTTTTGCTCTGGATAAACTGAATGTGTTTCAGCACTTTGGATGCACGGCTCTGCCTGGCTGAGGTAAAGTGAAGACAGGTTTATAACTTATGTTCTGTTGATTTAAAAACTAAATCTTTATTTTTTTTTGTGGCTGATGATGATTAACAGGTGAAGTGGAACAGCTTCTTGGCTTACAATAAACATGAGCATTTACAAGTGTTCGCCTCTTTCTTTCATTTTAAAGTGGAGATGCAAACCTCCAGAATAAAATCAAAAAAAGCATTACAGGAATATTACATTTGATTAAATAAAGACGGACTGCTTTGTCTTTGACACCAGGAATGTTTATTCGATGTCCACGTCAGGCTGGAAAATAGATACGGGAATCCTGTGTGTCAACGTTCACCTGCAGAAGAGGGAAAAACAAAACGCGCTCAGTCAAGGCAGCTTAAGTTTTTCTCTGGAGCAGCTGGGTTACGCTCAGTAATACGTGTTTAACCTCTTTATATTTTCTAATATTAGTTTTACATGTAAAATCAGTCGATCCATCCATGAATAAGAAACAAGGATCGTTGTACGGACCTCAGAGCAGTTTGTCTACGACACATTTACATCCTTCCTCTCCAAGACTTTGAGACCAAATATTTTCTCAGAAAAAGGAAACGGCACTCTGTTGGACTCTAGTAATTATTGGTTTACACAAATAGGGCCACTCCCCTGTCTTACGCATAACTTGGTCTCTTTTAAAAGTAAATTAACTGATGGTAGATGTGTTTCCTACCTGCCATCACCGTCTGCAACAGAGTTGAGAAATAACTCGATGTATCGCTCGCCTGAAAGAGAAGAACCAAACAAAGTCAATATGCCACCGATCAGTAAGCAGCAAAGGCACGCTTTAGACATTTAGGCCAATATTATTTGGATCACAGAAAAATATATAAAGAGCAGAGAAGACTCAAATTATTCTTGTTTTTCTGATTTACGACGTTATCACAGACATTCAGGAGAGAGAAAAGGGGGGCATGGGGTGTACTAGACCACATTAATTTCAATACTTTCGTAACATTTTTCATATTGAAAGAGAAACGATATCAAATACTGGGTTAATTAATTATTGTAATATTTAAACATGTAAAAACAAAAGCTTTTTTCACAATCCCATAAAAATGCACGAGGGCCATAAGCTCGCTGACCTGAGGGTTGTTGGTTTGGACGCTGAATTATTATTAATATAACATCTGTTTTCAGCAGCACAAAAACTTGCCTCCTATTAACGTCAGAAGGTTTTCCAAGAAGACGGAGTAAAGGTAACATTTTTATGCCTTAGTTTAGATTGCATCTATATCTTATTTCATTCAAGTTTGACATTTGACTCGAGATCATTTCCAGAGTTTTGCATTTAAAAATGTTTTAAATGTAATTTTAATACGAGGCGTACGATCAAAGAGTTTATTTCGGGGTTTTGACAGATGTTGTATGCAGTTAAACTTTAAAACATTCAAGTTTCTAAAATGGAAATCAATGAGAAGTTCATTCTGAACTCATCTTTTGAAAATGTATTGTGGCTCATTTATAAGACAAAAGTATTTCTTATCCGATTACTCAATTGGTTGATAAATTACTCGATTACTAAATCTATCGACAGCTGCTGCCCTGGTAAAGAGTTGAACTAAAAGCAAAAATAAACAACGCTGTGAAAAGCTCACCAACGGGCTCACCTATGTTCATCCTGTCTTTGGACATGGCGGCCACGGCGTCTCTGTGGCAGTGGAAGTAAACGTCAGCCTCTCCGCTCGGCCTGCCGTCGGGACCGCATTCAATCAGGATCTTACACACGGCCAGAGGATAGAAGAACTGCGAGAGAGAAACACCGACACGTGAAATCACCAAACTCAGCTTCATTGTCTCAACACGTGAACAGCTTTACCTTCACTATGTCTTCCCCAGAAGCCTGGAAAGGAAGTCCCCTCACGTGGATGTAGTGTAGCGGTACGGTGGAGCTCTGAAGGTGAAGTGACGGAGGAGGCGAAGCAGGTGATCTGTTTTCAGGGACTAAAACAGGACCCATTACACTGCTGTCTGTTAACCAGGCTCATGTATCATTTGGGCTTGAACTTCCACAAATGGCTGAAATATCATCAAATATTCACTGGAGCTGTTAAAGCTTGAAATGTATGTCAGAACATTCACATGACACATGCTGGGAAAGGAATGTGACAGTGACACTGAAATACATTTAATCTATACCCCCCTCCCCCGATGAGTCTTTATCAGGGTAGCAGAATTAACATGCCAGAGGGACGGGCCACCACCAGCACCTGTTGCACCGTATTGAACCCATAGAGGGCGCCAACTGTGTTGTATATGTCAGGTCATTTAAATGCTTTCTACCCTGTAAAGCAGCGGTCTCCAACATTTTTTGCGCCACAGACCGGTTTATGCCCGAAAATATTTTCACGGACCGGCCTTTAAGGTGTCGCGGATAAATACAACAAAATAAAACTAGTACCGGTACCGAAAAAAAAAAGATTTATTCATAACACACGTGAACAGACCCAGGAAAACCGAGTTAACGATAAAAACGATAACAAAATAACGCTGCTGTAAAGAACAAGAAAGTCTTTTTTTAAATATGGCTTCTAACATTGAATTGGCACGTTTAAGAGTTGTCCACGTGAAGAGTTTTAACCCCTCTCTGTGTTACCTGTTCGTTACATCCTAAACTTGTCTTATCACATCTTAAGTGTAATTTATTTTCCCATAAATGTATCAGTCTACCGAATGCCGACTGATCGACAAGTAGGCTGGGATTGGGAAAGGAGCTAGAGCAGAGTTCACTGGGAAACACTGGTCAAACTAACACGTGTACACAGGCAGACGTATTTCCAGAACCATAAAACACGCTTTATTCCCACCAGAGATTTGAGGAGAGGATGTGAGGCAAGAGGGTGTTTGGCTAAATGAGACACCGAAGCCTTTGAGCCTCTTTTCAAAACAATGTTAAATATGATATTTTGCAGAGCCGCATCACAAATGTTTTGTTGTAGCCACTCCTGCTGTGCTTCTTTTTATTTGTTTTATGTTTATATTCATATTTTAAGTGTAAGATTTGCACGTTTTTCCAATTCCAATTAAAATTCCTCACCACTCCTCCTGTCCACTGACTGAGGCGGAAATGGACTCGTTCTCTTCCTCCAGGTCGAGTGAATCTCATCTCTTCTGCTGGGAAACACCTCGATGTATCTGCAGATATTAGAAACAGCACAAGAAGCAACAAACATGACAAAAAAATAAAAGAGTGCACTTCTTGGTCACCAGAGAAACATCCAGGTGAATTCGAGAGTCAGTGAAGCTTCCCACCTGCTCCCTATGATCTCTCGGTCTCTCTGCAGCGCTTCATCAGCTGCTTCCTGAGACGTGAACTGCACATAAGCCACTCCAGACTTTCTTCCCCTGGAGTCTGTGACCATGGTGATCCCGTTCGCCATTATCTCCAAACCTGTGAAACACAGCTTGTTAAGATAAAGTAGTTATAATTCTTTTCCCCTTTCATACTTTCACCTTTTCAAAAGGCTCAGTGCCAGTTTTCTAACTGAAAGCCGTGTGCTCAGCTGCTCATGTTGGGAGGTGAAACAAATGAATCCTACGAATGTGATTTACCAAGTTTACCAAATCATGCATGAATTTATTTAAAAAAATAAAAAATAAGCAGGACACTGCCAAGACTGTAAGTGATAACTTTTTTTTAGCCACAGACGCTGAGAATTTTACTTTCGTTTTCTTGTCTTCAGAGTAATAAGAAACCAAAATCATTACCAAGCTCTACTTACATTCAATAGCTAACGTTTATTTGGGGTTTTTTGCAACTAAATCTACTGAGTTTGCACTGACAAGAGTCCCATACTGTAGCAACACAGTGTACCTGAAAAGAAGTGGACAATGTCATCCTCAGTGCAAGTGAAGGGGAGCCCTCTGAGCAGCACCACGCCATCAGCTCCTAGAGGCTGGGTGGCTTTCTTCAGGATGACTTCAGCGTCACCGTTTGTCACTTCATACACTGAGACAGGACAGGAGAATGTGTTCTTGTGAGTTAAGCCAACATGACTGCTTCTTATTTATTATAAATAAATGTCTGTTGTCAGGACCCTGAAACTGAACTGAGTTTTCCTTCATCAGTCTTTGTCAAGGACTTCCCGTTTGGAACAAACCTTCAACGTATCGTGGGCCGAGGTACTGCCGGTGCTTCTCCAGTGCTTTGCTGACGTCCTCCTCGTGCTCCATCTCGATGAAGGCTCGTCCTGACGGCCTCCCCAGCCTGTCCAAAGTCAAGTGGATGCCTTTCACCCCATCACGTATCCTACACTCTGGTACATGGTAATTGCAAAAAATAATAATCTCATTTAATTTATTCATATACTGTGTAGTTACAAAGTAAAGGTGTGCCACTCCTCAGACTCCCACCTGAGAAGAACTGCAGAAGGTCCTGAGTGGTGCAGGACCATGGGAGACCTTTCACCTGCACAATGTAAACCTCCCTGGACTCTGGTTCTGATTCAGGATGATAGGCCGGCAGAGGTGGGTAGTCATCCTCATAGGTTCCTCCTGTCTGGAAGATGTAGAGTCAATTAAATCAATATATCAGTGTGAAATGGAAATGATCATACATGCTTGTTTTATCCACTGATACAATTTTAACTGTATGTGATTTTATATTGTAAAGGACTTTGTCACTTCTGTATTTGCATCTTTCTGGTCACTGCTAGGTTAGGTCCTACCTGCACCAGGATCAACTGTATTATATGAAAGAGATGCTGCAGTGAAAAAAAATTAAAGGAACATTTTTGAGAAAGAAACAGTGGTGAAAGAAACAGTGGTGAAAGAAACAGTGGTGGTAGACGTCATTTGGATGAGTGACAAAACGTTTCTCTCATATTTCTGTCCTGGAGTTTCGCATATAAGGGACACATTTCTAGATGAAAGTTCATAAAAAGCACGAATTTAAGTGTCTGATGCTCCCCAACCAAAACATACGCCCGTGGCGTTAATAAACTCTTCTAGAAGCATCTTCAGAGCAGTTTTAAAGTATCTTCTCGGTCTTTAACCGTCTCTAGTTGCCTCTGTGACCCAAACACATGCTAAACCACGCGGGGCTGCTCTGAGACTAACCTTAGTACAGAAGCGGCTCTGGCTGCTTCTAACTGCGGGCTGCAGCTCGCACAGTCTCTGGAGACAGGCTGTCCGGGCCGCCGAAGTCAAAGTTCGCTGCTGAGTGAAGCCGCAGATGCGTGAAGCTGTCGGTACCGTTAGCTGTCTGACTGCGACACACCGCCGCAGTAAAAACCACAGAGATTTACCGCTGCAGGACATCGTAGCCGAACCAAGCCGGAAGTCAGGTCAATAACAGACAGTCTGTTCTGCAAAAGAAATGAGGCGCCCGAACGGTGTGAGACCGGGTTTCTCTTAATGTAGTCGGTTAGCTTAGCTAACTACCGGCTTAGCATCACGATAACCTGTAAATGAACACACTCACGTGGGTCGGTGACAGTCAAGGGCAGCGCTCGAGAATGTGAAAATGATAGTTAAATTTCACATTCTCAATATCCGGTTTGGATTTTCACAATAAAGGTCTATTTCAAGGGCAGGGCGCTGCTCTTTCGACATAATTCTATTGTATGGTTAAAAAAATCTTCAGCTTTGGTTTACTTTTTCAATATGGTATCTGACAGGAGAACCTTTTTTTAGAAATCACAATAGAAATTACGACATGAATGCAGCTTTCAGAAAGCAGTTGACTTGGCCATGTGGACATCTCAAGTCTTTATTTTATTATTTGTGTTAGTGGATTTTATAAGTATAATAATCTGGCTAATAACTGTTACAACTGTTGTTGTGTTTTTATTATTTTTATTTTTTTCAAAATGTTTTTTTTTTTAAATTAAATGTTATTCATATAGCACTAATGCACAACGAAATCACCTTAAAGCACTTCATGCTTTACGTTAATGACGTTAAAAATAATAGAGAGAAACAACCATAAACTCCCCCTATTAGCAATACTTGGTGAAGGTGGGGAGGATAAGCACACTTTTATCAGGAAGAAAACTCTGGCAGAACCAGGTTTTGGTCAGTTGTGATGCAGCAGTAAAAATTTTAAAATATTAAAATAATATTTGTCATCATTCATGACTGAATTATAGAAAAACAAGTGCAAGGGATGATTAACATATTAGTAAGACCTGCTGTGATGTATGGTTAGGAGATGGTGGCACAACTGAGTGGCAGAGCTGAAAATGCTGAGGTCAAATAATCTAGAGACCACAGAGGAGATTCAAGGATGTAGTGAGAACATGCAGAGGGCTGGCGTCACACAGAGGAGGATGCCAAGGAGAGGATGAGATGGAGGCAAGTGACCCACTGTCGTGTCCCCTAAAGGGAGCAGCCCAGATAAGAAGAACAAAACATCCTTGATAATTAAGCAGATCTGATATCTTTTAAATGTTTTATTGCTTGCTTATGTATGTATTTATTTATTTAACTTTATTTTTAGATTCTTTCACATGGATTGGTTGTGATGGGTGCAAACTGCTAAAGACTGTGTGACAACAGATTCATCAGTAGTTATACAAATGTGCCACAAAAAGAGAAGCTGAATTTTTCACATTTATATTTGTCATTATACATGAATATTGCTGTGGTTATTTAAAGACAGTTCATTTCCGCCTTAGATATTAAATAAGAGTTTGTTGATCAGAGAAGCAGACTGGGCTTCTTTTGTTTTAGTGGGCCAAAATGGACGGGATGTTATTGTGAACTACTGCAAACTTGATGATCTTTAGCAACTTCTGCCTTGCAGCGCTTCCTCTCTCACATAGTATTTAACCCACACTGCCATCTAGAGGTCTGGGTCGTTGTGGGTATTATTCACAAGAGACGAGTATGTGCGTAAAAATCTTCTCACTCTGTGGAGATAATGAGGAAGTAGTGGTTAGTCGTGGTTTTTGGTATTTTCATATCTTCTAAACAATCTGCTTCGAACCTTCTGTCGTTCAGCACTTCTTCTTCTTTTTTTAATGTAATGGTTTTTCATTCTTTTCTCTCACTTCTTTTTCATTTAGTTATTTATGCTTTAAAGGTTTGTCTAAATAAGTTAAACAATTACAAACTAGAGGGAACTAAAGCTATCAGCAGAATGTAAAGAAACCCTATGACTTTATGCCCAAAGCATCAGTGTACTGTGTGGAAGAGATGCTAGCTGAAGCTGAATTATACCTGAGCTGCACTTTTGCATAATACAATTTGCTACCACCAGGTGGTGCAGTGTGTCAATGTAACATTATTTAACAGGTAAGTCATTGAGTGCACATTTAAAAGGTAAAAGAAAGCAGCTCATGTTTAAAGCACATGACAACTTACTTTTTTAAGGTGCCCCCCTATGGTCCAACATTTAATGAAATTCTGCAGATGGAAAGTATTATATGCAAAATAAAAGTGTTTATAACCTTCCAAAATTAACCAGTGGCATCAACTAAATGCGTAGAAGCTGCGTCATTGATATTAAATCCGCTTTTCTTTCTTTAGAGATCGAATAAGTTTTTATATTATATTTATCTTATAATAAATTAATTCTAAAACTTCATCATCATCATTTTATAGGTAACTTTGATGTGAAAATTCTTATTTTTATAATCTATTTTAAAATAGCTAAGAAGGTGATAATTTTCCTTTTTATGTAAAAACCTGAAATAAAAGGGTCTCTATATGTAGACAAGGCTGCATATGAAATAATGTATAAGTTATTATACTTTATGTCCTTAAAACTTTACTGAATTTATTTACAGCTCAGCATGCCAGATCAGATCATAATTTAGGAATATTGTGACATGGAGAAACACCGATTTCATCAGTTACAGAGAAAATTAGGACATGTAGATATGTCATTTCGTCACTTGACTACATTTTTGTCTTTCAATATCTCCACAACCAAAGTTATTTAGTTATTGAACAAACTTGCAAAGGTCGAATTCATAGATAGATAGATAGATAGATAGATAGATAGATAGATAGATAGATAGATAGATAGATAGATAGATAGATAGATAGATAGATAGATAGATAGATAG